GTGCTGCTGCTGCTGTGGGTTGATTTCGCTGCTGCTGAAGTGCAGCAGTAAGCGCTTCTGCTGCTGCTGCTGCTGCTGCTGTTTAGGGTAAAGATGAGAAGCACACAAAGAAGGGTCCGCCAGAGGCAGAAGAGGAAGACTTTTTGTTTGACCCGTCTGCTGCTGCGCCTGCCTCTAAGCAGCAGCAGCAGCAGCAGCAGCAACAGCAACAGCACGCAGCAGACCCATGGGGAAAGCCGAACTTCCTGCAGCAAGGAGACCCGTGGCAGCAGCAGCAGCAACAACAGCAACAGCAGCAGCAGCAAGACCAAAGCCCTCCTTGGGAAGCTTCGGAGGCTTTCAGTCAGTCGCTCCAGCAGCAGCTGAAGCAGCAGCAGCAGCAGCAGCAGCAGCGCCGAGGAGAAAAGATGCAGGGGGGCATTGAAACGGCAGCGGGGGGCTTTGCTGAGGGCAGTAGAGACTTCGATATTGCTGCTGCATTCAGCAAGGCCTCTAGTATTAGCAGAAACAATAGCAGCAGCAGCAGCAGCAGCAGCAGCAGCAGCTCCAGCAGCAAATGCACCAGCAACAATAGCAGCAGAAACAATAGCATCAGTAGCAATAGCGGCAGCGCAGGCAGCAGCAGCAGCAGCAGCAGCAATAGCAGCAGCACCAATGGCAGCACGAGCAATAACAGCAACAGCAGCAGCAGCAATAGCAGCAACAGCAGCAGCAGCAGCAGCAGCAGCAGCCAACCAACAAAGCAGAGGAAGGCCCACTGGCAGAGTTTGTTTTTGCTTGAAGGCTTTCATTCCCCCACAGCAGCAGCTGCTGCTGCGGGCGATGCTGCTGCTGCTGCTCCTGTTGCTGCTGCAGCAGCAGCACCTGCTGCTGCTGCTGCTGGCTCTAGTGTGAATCCTTTTAGCCCTACCTCCTTCCCTAGGGGCAGCCCCAAAGGGCTCAGCATGCCGCTGCTGGAGCAGCTGCTAGTGATGCGGCAGCACCTCCCCCAGCAGCAGCAGGAGCAACTGGAGCAGCAGCAGCAGCAGCAGCAGCAGCAGAGGCGTTTCAAGGAGACAAGAGACTTGGGGGGATTTCTTACGGGGGCAGAAGGCCCTTTAGAAAGAGACAGTAAAGAGAAAAGCTGCAGCAGCATTGCTGCTGCGTGCGCTGCTGCTGTTGCTCGCAGCAGCAGCAGGAACAGCAGCAGCAGCAGCAGCAGCAGCAGCAGCAGCAGCAAGGGAGCAGCAGCAGGGGGAAGAAGCAGGGGAGAGGTGCTGCTGCCTGTGTCTGTTGATGTTTGTTTGCTGCGGCTGGGAGAAGCTATGCCTCAGCCTGTTGAAGGAGTAAGGAGACAGCAGACAGGAGAGGAGACACCCGAATAAGAAAAGAGACAATAAGAAAGGAGACAGCAGCATGCAGCTTCTTCTTATACTCAATAACTTGCTTAATGCTGCAGCAGAAACAGCAGCACACACAGAACAATTAGACACAGCCCACTGCAGCAGCAAGCCTGCATCAACAATAGCAGCAGCAGCAGCAGCGAACCTGCAGCAGCAGCAGCAGCAAACCTGCAGCAGCAGCAAACCTGCAGCAGCAACAAACCTGCAGTAGTAAACCTGCATCAGCAACGCTGCAGCAGCAACCCTGCAGCAGCAAAGCTGCTGCAGCTTTGCTGCAGCAGCAAAGTTGCAAACAAAAGGGATGATGATGCGACAAATTAAATAAAAGGAGACAAATTAAATAAAAGGAGACAAAATAAATAAAAGGAGACTATATATATACATACATATATATATATTATATATAAAAGGAGACAAATTAAATAAAAGGAGACAAATTAAATAAAAGGAGCTGCACATGGGCGTAGGAACAGAGACAGAAGGACGAGTAGTGTTGCTGTTGCTGTTTCAAACTAGGGTTGCTTCTGCTGCAGCAGCAGCAGCAGCAGCAGCAGGGCTGGCGCAGCAGCAGAGACAGGAGATGCTGCATAGGGGCAGCAGAAGGAGACAATTAGAAAGGAGACACTTAGGAAGGAAGTAGTTAAAAAGAGACAGAGAAAAATGAATGTTTACTTCCCCCATGCATACTGAAACGGCATAGCTAGCTACAGCTAGCTACAGCTAGCTACGGAGCAGCAGCACGAGCAGCAGCAGCAGCAGCAGTAGCAGCAGCAGCAGTATTAACAAACAGGGGCACTGAGTAGACATTGCATTTGCGCTAGAGCAGCAAAGAAGAGTTTAATCGGGAAAACAAAAATAAGAGATTGTTGTTTAGACAAACTCGCAAACAGCAGGCAGACAGCAGCAAGTCAGTCAGCAGCTAGCTGCTAGCAGCTAGCTAACAACTAGCTAGCAGCTGGGTGCTTGCTAGTCCGTAGCTAGCTAGCTGATAGCTAGCTGGATTGTAGCTAGCTGCTAGCTAGCTAGCCGCTAGCTAGCTGGATGATAGCTAGCTTGCAGCTAGCTAGCTAGCGGATAGTTAGCTGGATTACAGCTAGCTAGAAGCTAAGGCCTCTGGTTTGGTGGTGTTGGGGTGTACGCACACCCGACGAACCTGCTGAGGGCGCCTGCAGCAGGAGCAGCAGTTTGCTGCTGCTGCTGCTGCTGCTTGCAGCCTCCGCATTCTCCTTCTGGCTGCCCCCACACAACTCAGAGAGGCAAGGAGACTCTTAAAAATGCAGCAGCAGCAGAAGGAGAGAATAAAAGAGCTACGAAGAGACGAAGACAAAGAGAGATAAGATGCTAGAAGCACATAGCAAGTGTATAGGGTGTTGGTGTGTATAATTTATATAATATATATATAAATATTTATTATTTTTAATACATTTTGTTTGCATTTTGTTTTAATTAATTCTTTTCTTCTCTCCTCACCTGTCTATACACCTGAAATACACAAAAATAAACACACGGCCTTCAGCGAGCTGTCGGGGGGCCCCCTGTGGTTTGTAGAGTTTGATGTTGCTGCTGCTGCATCTGTTATTGTTTTATAATTCTTTATGATATAATTGACTAGAAAAGATTAAAATAATAATTAACTGTGCGTATTTAGTATTTTAATAATAGTTTCTACATTGTGAAAGGCAGAGCCACAGCAGCAGCAGCAGCAGCAGCAGCAACCAACAGTCTGGGGCCTCGTACGTCTTGCGGTCTACCAACAGCAGCACAGATATAGTTTGTTTCTATGATTGAAAATACTTATGAGTGTTTATTTAATATTAAAATACATCGATAAAACTCAAACAAACAAACACAAAATCAATACACCTCCTCATACAGCCTATACAGCACACTGCAGCAAGCCAGCTGCATATAGGAGCTCCCTATACACCCCAGCGGCCTCTGCAGCGCTGGTGGTATTTCATATTAAAATACAGCAGTTTGAGGTGTATGTACACCTCGAGGTGTACATACACCTCAACTTTAATCTAACTTCAGGCCTCCTCTCTAGCTAGTTTATGTCTCCCTGATGTATATACACTGCGGCCTGTGCAGATACTCTGAGGTGTATATACACCGCAACTTATTGTTATTTCTTGCAGTTATCTCTCTTTGTAGCGCTCAACAAGCGCTGTATCTTCTTCTTTTTCTTCAACAGATAGGGGCCCCTACAGGTTCTCTTGTTGCTGCCGACAGCAGACAGACAGGAAGATATAATTAAAAAGAAAGTCAAAGAAAGATAAAGACAGCGGGATAATTCAGGATAAACGCAGTAGACAGAAACTCACTTCTGGCGGGGCTTTTGTTTCGTTGCTGCAGCAGCAGCAGCAACAGCAAAAACAGCAAAAACAGCAGCAGCGGGAGCAGCAACAGTCCTTATCTGCAGCAGCAGCTGTTGCTGCTGATGCAGCACCTGCAGCAGCCCTTATCTGCTGCAGTAGAAGTAACAGACCTTCTCTGGTGCAGCACCAGCAGCATCAACTCTTCTCTTGAGCAGCAGCAGCTGCTGCTGCAGCAGTAGCTGCAGCAGCTCTTCTCTGCTGCAGCAGCAGCCCTTATCTGCAACAGCAGCAGCAACAGCAGCAGCAGCAACAGCAGCAGCAGCAACAGAAGCAGCAGCAACAGCAACAGCAGCAGCAACAGCAACAGCAACAGCAGCAGCAGCAGCAACAGCAGCAGCAACAGCAACAGCAGCAGCAACAGCAGCAACAGCAGCAGCAGCAGCAGCAGCAGCAGCAGGAAAAGGAGGAATAAGATTTGTTTGTTTGTTTTGTTTGTGTGAAGAGAATTTGTAGAGATGGGCTGAAGATATTGTTGGTGTTGTTATTACTGTATTTGTTATTATATATACTTTATATTATTTATATATTATTATATATTATTATATATTATTATATATTATTATATATTATTATATAATAATATTATTTTTGCTGTTGTGTTGTGCTGTCGACAGCTGCAAATTATTAATTATTATTATTTTATCCCTCGTTTTTTTGTGCCTATTCTGAGTATATCTCTTTATTACAGTTAATTATCATTATAATTAATTATAATTAATTATAATTATATTTTTTATTCTTTGTTTGTTTATTTACCCTGTTAGCTGCTAATAGTTGTTATATATATATATATACATATATATATACAGATATATATACATATATATACATGTAGATATACATATATATATACATATATATATACAGATATATATACGTATATATACATGTAGATATATATATATGTATATACAGATATATATACATATATATATATATATTGTGTGTGTGTGTTTGCTGCATTTATATGTTAAAATTGTTATATGTTTAGCAACGAGAATGAGTGTATCTATAATATGTGTATTCCTGAAGAATGTTTGTTGTACAGTACCGGCGAAGAGTTTAATAGACTTTTATAGAGGCTTGAACCAGCTTATAGACTGTGAATTTATAATATTATTATTGAGTGTATTTGGTGGGCTTAAAGGCATGCTATTATCTCTTATAAACGAGTTATTACTACCCTTTATGCGCGAGAATAACTTAGATGGTGCGGTGTATCAGCAGCTTTTATCTTTTTCTTTACTTCCTTGGGGGGCTAAATGCTTATTAGGGGTTTTAAGCGATAGAGTTTTATTATGCGGTAGAAGACGAAGAGGTTATATGCTATTAGTTAATATACTCGGTATATTATCAGCAGCAACATTGTTGCTGCTGCCTCCTGATGCAGCTGCACATTATTCGCTTCTATGTGTTGCTGTTCCGATCTTGGGGCTGCATGCGCAGATAGCTTCTTTAGAGATGTTAAGCGAAGGCCTATACTTACCGCTGCTGCAGCAAAACCCTCAATCGGCTTCATCTCTTCTTGCTCTCGTCGGCTTCTCGTCCACAGCAGGCAGTCTGCTAGGAAGAGTTATAGCGGGGCCAGTCAGTGACAGCTGGGGCTCGGGGCCTCTCTTCTGTCTTTGTTTGCCTCTCTCTTTGCAATCATTTTTTCCTGTCTTGTTCAATTTCGGAGGAGAGCCTAAGCTCACCCAGACGCACTGCTCTAGCAGCAGCAGCAACAGCAGCAGCAGCAGCAGCAGCAGCAACAGCAGCAGCAGGAGGAGGTGCAGCAGCAGCAGCAACACGCCATGTTGCATGCGGATACACCCGCAGAAAGGCGATAAAGGGGTTGTTGGTGTGGCTGTCTTATCTGCTGTTTGTGCTGCAGCAGCAGCAACAGCAGCAATTGTAGAAGAGGGTAGGATAGCTATTGTTCTGAGTGCATGCATCTGCGGTTTATTGACAGTCGGGTGTATGTGTCTGCTTCCAAGACCCCTCGCTTGCTGCGCAGTTTATTTCTTCTTCGACAGATTGCTGCATCTGAGCATACAGGGTGCTCTTAACTTCTATTATACAGCCCCGCCTGCATGCGTTGCTGGGGGCCCTCACTTCAGCTATACTTACTTCTCTGCATACACTGCAGTTGCTAGCACTGTTGCTAGTTGGATAGGCATCTTCGCCTTTCATAAGTGGTTTAAAGCCTGGAGCTGCAGGTCAGCCTTCAGGGTTTAGGGTTTAGGGTTTAGGGTTTAGGGTTTAGGGTTTAGGGTTTAGGGTTTAGGGGTTGGGGGGAGGATGTGCTGACGATTTACCCGGTTGGTGTATATGTGTTTTAGGGTTTAGGGCTTAGGGTTTGCCTTTTAATATATATATATATATATATGGTTTAGGGTTTAGGGTTTAGGGTGTAGGGTGTATAAAGTGTGTGTGGCTTCCGTCTTAGGGTTTAGGGTTTTAGGGTCTAGGGTATAGGGTTTGGGGTGCATAAAGTGTGTGTGGCTCCTGTTCTAGGGTTTACGACTTCGCATTTAGGGTTTAGGGTTTATGACATAGGGTTTAGGGTTTATTATTGTTTATAGGGTTTATGCCTCAGCATTTAGGGTTTAGGGTTTATATGGT